TTTGATTAGTTTACAAGAGCTACTAGAACATAAAGGGCTACTTAATTGTTGTTCCTCCATTTTCTGGTACCACATCTCTTAGAGCTTACCCTTTGACTTTTCCCTAATAAATTAGCAAGTGGACATAACTTTATACCATAGGTTATTCCAATAAAAACTGAGATTCTTTATTCCTATGCAAAACCAAAAAACAAAACAAAAAACAAAACCCACAACATTTTGCTTGAAAGATTGCAAAAGGGCTAAATTCTCAAATAAATTATTTTGCATTCCTCAGGGGATAGTCCTTACTTTGGCCATTTTATTCACCCATACCTGGGTTAGTGCCGATGTGCTTTTATGCTGAGGTTAAATGACATGGTTGCTGAAACTTCGACCTACGGTGTTCATTCATATGGGTCAATTTATATTATTCTTATGTACTTTATCCATTATAACTTAAATCTTGTACTTCTTAAAGAGTCATTATTGGCATAAGATTTGTGTATTTACGCACTCATATTGACTTGAATTTTATGCACACAAGGGAAGAAATAGAACAGATTATGCCCATATCCTTAACAACAATTTTTTCTCCCATCTGATTTATATGTTTTACCAGGGTTCTTTCCAAATGGGAAAATGTTGTTACTCCCTCCTATTGATTCTAATCACTTTGATATATTATTTTAAGTCAACTAAACTTTTGAAGTTTGCCATTTATAGTAATATGAATATGAACTAAACTTCTATTTCTAGTACCTAAAAAACCCTGGAGAACCAGAGCATAGTTATAATACTTTTGTTGAAATACTGAGAAACTCTGTCTGGCTTTAAAGTTATTTTTTTAAGATTTTATTTATTTATTTTAGAGAGAGAGAGCACAAAGTGGGGAGAGGAGCAGAGAGGGTGGGAGAGGAAGAGGGAGAGAATCTCATGCGGACTCCACATTGAACTCGGAGCCCAACACTGGCTCAATCTCATGACCCTGAGATCATGACCTGAGCTAAAACCAAGAGTCAGACGCTTAACCGACTGAGCCACCCAGGCGCCCCTGGCTTTAAAGTTATTAAAGACTTTTTATGTTCAGTATTGTTTCAGAGCTAAGTACATTTTATGGCGTTCTAATACTTACAAAAAGAGAATCAGTTGGTAATAAATCTTATTGCTTGGACCCTGCAGTGCAGCATGGATTTTCTATGGGTAAGGACAAAACCAAATGAAGTTAATTCAGGAAGGTGAGTTTTATATATGTAATTCAAACACAGTATGTATCCAAATTTTAATAACTGAAAACAGGAAATCCCTGAAAAAGGCATAAAAAGTAACAGAATGCAGTATCCCCGATTATATTTCAGGATGCCAAGTAAGCAAATGCCCAACCTTTCTTTTATTTAATATGCTTATTTCTAAAATTTATACTTAGCAGCATTATATATTGTTTCTCACACCTAGAATTAATCAAAATCTGAAACTAAGCTAAATCATTTTTTTGTCTTCAGAAAATCAGATCTGCTTTAGAAACTTCATGTTTGCGAGGCTCAGAGTAATACCTCTTGATAAAGAGATGCTGCGTTATCAAAGACTAAATGTACCAGGACTAGGAAAAATTAAAACGAGCAATCTAGTGTTATTCTAGGACAACATAAGAAAAGTAGTGACCAATGAAAAGAGAATCATAGAATGTTAATGCTGCAAGAGACCTTGAATATTTCTATTCTTTTTAATATCGTCAATTTCATGAAATTAAAGATAAACACTTGCTTCAGAATACACACTTACAAACTAAGACAGTGAAGGATCAGATAGAGAAGGAATTTGGAATTCAAACAGAAACAGAGGAGGTTGGAGGTAGGAAATATAGAAGAGAAGCCACAAAATTCTGTGCTAGGATACGTCGGCTGAAGGTCTAAAAGAAGTCGCCAATAATACTATCTGTGCGATTCTTTCTCTCCAGAAAATAAGAAAAGTGCTAGCTTGCTTCCCCGTGGGATGTGACCCCTGTACCAGGAAAGGATCCTGAAGCTGTTCCTAATGTACCTTAGTGCCCTTATTTTCCAAAGATCAACAAATGTACCCTATGTTTGGCTGAATAAATGTAATATTACTTTTTGGAGAAGTAAAAAAAAAAAACCTCTCCTCTTACTGATGCCTTAATTCAGAATAATTTCATTGCACAATTGGAAATCACATCTAAACAGAATAAGCCTGTCACTAAATGCATGGCTGAGAACAGATCCTCTCCTCTTTACAGAAAGCAGAAGTGCCTGGAATTGGAAAGGTAGTAGAGAAGGAAGTGAACTGGGTGAGAGAAACCAAGGTACAGAAAAATAGTCCAGAATCCGTGAAATAAAGTATTCTTTTGCATGGTTTTGACACTGTTTATCTTGAACCATATACAGACAAATGGAGGTTTGTGCAGTGAGATCTCATGAGCGGTCAAAGTGGGCACAACGCTTTCCTTAAACATTCCTTTCAATATAACGAAATCCACCAGTTGATGAAAAAATTATTCATTTTGATTGCCCTTTCATAGAAGTCACTTTTTCACACAATACCTATGTTTTCAGAAGATCGATGTCCTGAGACAGGATGGCATTCAGAAAACTTTTAAGGAAAACTTTTGTCCTATGAGAGCCAAATATTCTTAATGCTTTGGCACCAAGAAGAACTTAGATTTCTGTTAAAAATCAGAAGAAGCATGTAACCACGAGCAACGTTGAAGAGGGGTGAAATTACCAAAGTGTCCAGCAGTGTCTCAACTTCTGGTGGTATAGGGAAAGTAATCTGGTTTTCAGTCCCGTTAGAACAAGATTTGCTTGAGTGCTTTCTAGCATGCTAGGGCTTCCCCTTTGTGTATAGTATGCATGATTTAAAAGAAGCAGTGTCAGCACTGATTTATACATTGACAGCTAAGGATAATAAGATATGGGCAAACATACAGCTCACCCTTTTACAGATTAACCTGGAGACTGCATTAGGCAAATTTGATAGCATTAAAAGATTTTGCCAATTTGTCTGGAAACAATTTCTCTTTTGTAGTGTGTCAAGGGTAACACTTCATGCCATTGTACTAATTTAAATGGCTTTGATAAATTGTTCAAGGGGTTAGAGAATAGTAGTGTAGATATATATTTAGCACTTTAAAATAAAAAGGCTGTTAACTTAATGGTTAAATGAATTTAATCTGTAAAAATCAAAAGTGCTCAAGAATGTAAGTGTTTTCTTGGAACCACAGCAGCCATATTACAACATGAAGCTTTAAAAGTCTTCTTAGAAAATAAAATTATCCTTCTGCATTACTTCCTAATAAGTAGAAATGCTTTAAGCTATTACAGTAGCATGGATGGCACCTATTATTTGGGGAAAGCCTTAGTCTATAAAAGCAATAAACCCATATCTTCTCCAGAGTTGGCCTTTGCATGTCCTAGATTGTACCATTTGCATGACATCAGGGTAGTCTCTGTCCCCTAGAGACCCTCTTAAAAATAAGATGTATATTTCATGAGACATTCTCCATGTACATAATTTCTAAAGTAAGGATTTTGAAGAGGGCCCTCTGAAAGTCACTGGATTAAATCGTTGCACCTTTATTCAGTAGCCTTGTGAGAGAAACCATTATTTTACGGGAATGTTGAAACAATTCTGTAAGAACACACCTCAAACGTGAATTAGCCCTTTTGGTGAATTTTGCACTTGAAACAAGGACAGGATTCATTTGTATTATGATCGTAGTATTAGCCCTGTATATCTGTATTCCCTCCCGGTGCATGGAGAACTGACAACTCACCTGACTATTTCATCAAGCATTTTGTTTTTGTCTCAAGTGAAGCATTAAAATACTGTTCTTTACTGGAATAATAATATCATTAAGCATCAAGCTACTAGACTTAAACAACAACTGCTTATTTGTTAAAAAAATAATTTAAAATAGCATAAAGATAGGACAGACAAGACTTAGCACTTAGCTGTTTATTTCAACCAAATAAATGCCTTAACATGGATAAAGGAAATTTTAATTCCAAAACAAGTGGCAGAAAAAAGCTGACTTAACCAAGTTTGGAGTAACTTTGTCTTTTCATCTTTGAATTATAACAAATGAGTGCTCAAACTACAAGAGAAGATTCAATTGTTTGCATTTTGTACTATTTAGAAGGAACTGATAAAGCTTTTAAACTCTCTACCATAGACACATGTAGTGTTTTAATGATATCGCTGCAGTATGCATTCTTTGCATTTGCAGCTAAAATTAGCATCTTCGAGAAAAGCAAAAAGATTAATTTCTCAATGCTTTATAACTTATTTTCTGGAAATTTGGGGAGTTTCTTCACTGGAAAGTATGCCTTATTTACATTGCAAAGAATTCACATATAATGACACATGATGCAAATCATGGAAATAGAGAAGCTTAATGAAGAACAAGGGCTCACTTTCTAAAGTGTATTCCTGGTTGGGAATAGCAGGGAGGTACATGGGACCTCATTTTTCTCTCGCTGTTGGGAGTTCTCGAAGGAAAACTGCTTTTAAAAGAAAGAAACCTAAAAGTAGTCTTGCTCTTTTTTGCCAAGGATAGTGAAATTAACATGCAGCTGGGCTTCTCTGATAAATGGATTCTGTTAGGTCACTGAGGGGGTGCATGTGACATTAAGTGATTTACAGTCCTTTACCTTAATGAAATTGTTTCAGCAAGATGACGCTGAAAGCTCTTAATGGATAGCTTTTCTTGATGTAATGAAATTGCATTCCTATGGCATTTAATATAAGGTGCAGTTATTATTTACTGGAGCTTTCCAAGGGCTGCTATTTGCACAGACAGTTCAGAACAAAAAGAGATCTCAGTAGCGGCACCAGCGGCACCAGCGAGGCCAGAATGGCTTGTGACATTCTTAAGCAGATGAGTGTATTTGTGAGAGCATTTCAGTTCTCGCGGCCAGGGTTTCCTAGACCCTTCAGGGAACTTCCTTTCACCCAGCCCTGCTAGTCTTCAGCCTTTTACATATATTCTTCTAATCTGTTTACAGGCAACTGGATTACAACCAGATCAGCTGTATTGAAGATGGGGCATTTAGGGCTCTGCGGGACTTGGAAGTGCTGTAAGTGTTGCTTCTTTCTCTTACTCTTTTGAAAGGGAGCTTTGTGTCTGGGGAGTGCTGATGTGGGAGTTTATCTGCTAGCTCAAAACCTTGTGTCAAAATGGTCTCATAAAGATACCTTAATAACTCCTGGGGATACATAGAAGACTTAAATATGTGTGCCCACAGCTGTGGGTATCATTTCTGTATGATTAGGTAAAAACATCTCTTGCAGGAGGACATTCAGATGTTCACAATACTGTCCCTTACGTGTTTCTCCTTATAAAAAATATTCAGTCACAGGATTTGTGAGAATTCCTAGAATTGTTAAATACTAAGATAAAATCAGGTGTGTCAGGAAAATGACAACAACAAAAAATAGACCTCTTTAGTCGCTGATAAGTTGGAATAATTTGTAGTTGCCATGCAATCGAAAGATGTTTTCTCATTTTAAGATGTCATTTTTTACCGGATAACATCATTTTTGAAAGGCGATTTTGACTGCCCATTGGGTCCATTTTAAAGTCTTCACTACTGACTTAGTAAAGCACAGCACGCAGATCTGAATTGTAATGGGCATCCTCTCTCTTTCCTTGCTGGGTAGATGTGGCTGACAAAATGGGTTAGAGACAACTGAGTAATCTCTACAGACCTTTGACTTGGTAAAATAGTTTTAATGAAATTATGATGATGAAAAATGATTTTAATGTAAACTGGAGTTGCTAAAGTGTTTGAAGTCTCCTGTACATTTCTGGGATTTCATTCCAGCCAGAGATTCATTTAAAATATATTTGCAGATTTCTCCCCCAAGTAAAATATTTTTCTCTGCTACAATTCATCCCTGACTAAATTTATTCAGAATCCAAAATTGAATTAAATTTGAAGAGGTTTTGAATTTTTAGTCCACGTGGTAAAAGTTATCTAGGAATCATGAAATCCTCCTGAAAAAAAAAAAGATTCCAAAATTGAGTTTGAGGAACAGAATGTAATTCTGAAAAAAGTTTGATGTTTCGACGAGATGGCTTATTTTAGCAATATTTTCTATATGATTTTGATTTCAATTGCAAGTAAATGCCTAGAATTTCTAGCCGCATCATGTGTAAAGTTACTGATTATTTTTAAGGAGTTAACATATAAGAATTAGTTGATTGAGATAAACTGTTTTAAGACTATATACTGTTGTCTATCCCCATGACGAGTCACCTTTATTTCTATTGAAAACAGTCTAACTTTTTCTCTAGGAAAAACATTCAGAGTGCTTATCATACACATTGTAGTTATAAGGCCACTTTTTTTGTGTGTTCCAGACCCATTAATATACAAAGCTCACTTTGCTATTTCAGAGTCAGTATAATTAAGATACAACTATGATTTCATGATAGTAGTCTGAGGTCGAAACCATAGTCAAAAGTCATAAACTTGGTATATGAAGAGACTACCGTGGGTGTTACTTAATTGAATTGAGCTGATCAAGCCAAAAATGTGTTACTAAGTCAGTGCTTCTAACTAGGAATAGAAATGACCCCAAAAATTTTATGGAAAATTTGCTGAATATTTTGGATGGACTAAAATCTGTAAGTACTTTGTTATTAATAAAAAGAGCTTAAATACTTATTAGATATCAAATAATTCATATACATAATATATTGAGTATATATTGAGTGTGTGTGTGTATATACAGATATATAGATAGATAGATAGAGAGAAAGAGAGGGAGAGAGAGAGAGAGAGAGAGAGAGAGAGAGAGAGAGCTATACATATACCCAAGCACTGTGCTGGGCATTGAAAATTCTTTACCCACAAAACAATAACTATTCATTTGACTCATCTGCTTTTTGTTATAAACTAAGATCACTGTTTTTAGAAGAGTAAGTTCATGAAAACACAATCACCGCATACACTGTGTTTGTCATGTTAGCAAAATATCTAAAAGATGACTTGAAACTACTATCTTGAAACACACCAAAGAGTGAAAAATGTCTTATGATTCATGGAGTTAAAATCAAAATCTACAGTGTTGGGAACTCTTTTGAGGACCTTAATACATAGGTTTCAAAGAGATATATAATGGTGAGAGTTTGCTAAAAAGAAATAGTTAAAATCAGTACATGATACAAGAAAATGTGAATTTCTTTTGAAATGACTTAAATATTTTCTATCAAAATTTGATAGTCAAGCAGACATTCTTTTACTGTGTGTTAATTTTTTAAATCCTCGTCGTTCATACAACCTTTAAAGAAATTAATGGATGAAAAATTTAAGGCTCATTGGATAAAGTATTCAAAAGACTAGGATTTATCAAGCCCAAATCTCTTGTCAAGTAAATCAAAAGTTCTTCTATTGTAGACTTTGGTTGGGGGCTTTTTTTATAGAAGGTTCCAGAAAGAAAGTTGTCTGTTTTTCTTATTTTTACCATGTATGACTCTTTACAATATATCTTTTTTATGTGGAACTAATGAAAGATTAATTGATTTGCACATCACCTTAAATTTAGAGTCCCGATGTTTCAGGTTTTTCTTTTTTAATTTTTGGTTCCATGAGCCATTTGTGAATGTATGATTACACTGAGGCAAAACAAGAGAAAATGGAAGTAATCATCCTGGGCCATGGATGAAACTTTGTTAAATTAAGATATATATTAGGGTAGAGAGAGTGAATAAAGTTTAAGAAGGAGAAGTCCAGGTAAATGAAAGCAAGGGAAGGCAGTTTATGACTCGTATGTTCATGGAAACCTGGCAAATTGTGGAATTCTGATTGGCACGATTCAGAAGTGTTTCTTTAAAAAAAAAAGTTTATCTTTTTAATATGAAGATACCATCTCAAAAATAACATTGGAAACTAAATCTAGATCAATGTTTTCTGTTTCTTTAGACAGCAGATTCAGAAATGAAATACATTCCTTAAGTTGCTAGTTTTGTATATTTTTCTTTTCCCATAAAATAGGCATAATTTTGTTTAATTGAGATGTAGAGATTCATATCTGAAAAATATCAGACTCTCTGCCAAATACTGTGCTGAGCACTAAGGGAATAAAAAAGGAATAAATCAAGATCTAGGTCTGAGAGGACCTACATGACTACCAAGACTCATATTTTGTGTTTACACATAAAGATATCCTTTGTAGAACAATGTATTCTCATTACAAAGAGAAAATCTTGAAGTTGAACAGAGAAATACACTTTCATATAGGAGAAGGTGTTCACAAATAAAGAAGTACAGTAGATAAATTTGCATTGTTTCAGAGTAGGAATTGATCAAGACTGTAATAGATACCTGACACCATACATAATTAACACATATTTATATTACTTTTAAAATAATTTAATTTCATTGGTTCCACATACTGCTCCATTACCAGGCATCAATATCCATATTGTTTTGCCAGCATCAATACTGAATAAAAAACACTAAGATAATTTATTTCTTAAGTTGTGTTATGCAAACTAGCATTTTGAGAAAAGACTCCAAACTTCTAGACACCAGTTTCCGCATTCAATTAAAACTCTCTTTTGTGTCGAATCATAAGAAATTATAGTTCAAAATTAATGCATGTCTGCTGCATGTGAATTACTTTTGAAAAAATGGTATCCCTAAAGTCACATTTCAGTATGTTATGCACTCTAAAGATTTTAGCTATATAAAGTCAGCATAAGTTTTGAGGGTGGGAAAAGGGGTGATTTGAAAGCAAATCCCTTTGAGAAGTGAAACCTTTTAGTTCAAACATCAGGATATATTTTAATGGCGTTTGAAAAAAAATCTCATTTCACTTGAGTACAGAAAAATGCTACAGGCTTTTAGCCATGAGCCAACAAATTCAGGGCTTTTTAGGTCCTTCATAAAGTGGTTTTTTTTTTTTTTTTCTTAAGCAACTTAATTCAAATCACTTGGATTCGTTCTTCTATCCTTCAATACATTGCAAAGCTGGGTAAGAAAAAAAGTCTGTGTGTTCTAGATCCGTAGCCACCGTGTGCTACTTCGCTGAGAAGTTTAAGTGCCCCCCAGCACCCCGAATCACACCAGTAACAACTGCAGCTTCCAGCTGGCCAAAAGTGGCCTGGCAAACCTATCTCGCTCAGTCCAAACAGACTCAGTCTGCAGATTCTTTGAAATATCTGAATTAGTTGCCAGTATTTAAAAATTGGGAGGATAGAGGTGAAATTTTCCATTTCTGGCTTCTCCAGGGAAAATCTGATTGTTTGGCAGCCTCCCGTTACAGCAGAGCGGCTGCCCATCAGAGCTGAGTAGTAGCTGGTACAGCACAGAGTATCATCGCCAGCTCACCAAGCTCTTCCTCGTCCCCAGCTCTCGGCCTGCTCCTCTCTATTTCTCTTCCCCATTCTGTGTTCTGTTTCTGTACATACAACCTGTTTCTCTACTTTTATGTTCCCTGCCCGGCTTCCACTGGCAAGAGAATTTGCAAAGTCTACTGCATACCTTTCTCCATTATCGAATGGCGTCCACCGGCCATGGATCCTGGCGTCTTGCCTCCTTCAGCGACTTGCATGCTTCTCTCACCCCGCCATGCTGTCTTCTCTCTACTAGAATCATTTTGCTTCTTTGCCCCTGCACAATGACAGCCCTGGGGTAGCTGTCTTCTCCCTTTCTTGTCACAGCCTGACTTCCCCAAAGGGAGGGAAACAAAAAAAAGAAAGAAAAAAACCTCTTCTTAATCTCATTAACTCTAAGTTTTTATAATTTGTGTACTTCATCTCCCTAGTTGGGCTATATGCTACTTTAAGACAGGTACTATGCCTGATTTATTTTTATACCATTCCTTGTTGCCCTAAAATTAAGAGCCATTTAGGAAATACTAGATGAATGAATGGGTAGTAGATGTAGTAGAAATAGCCAAAAGAATACAACAAACAATGCCTGTGTTAGGGGAAAAGTAGGAACAATTTGAACCAAGCGAGAATGATGCTTATTTTCACCATCTCTGCCTTGACCACCCATCTTCTTGACTCCAGCATCAAGATACCGGGATCACTACCACACCACAGTAAGCAAAGGACAAGATATGTGCCTGGGATGTAAAACTGTTAGAATGTATTAAGCTTTTAATAAACTGCTACAGCCTGACACTTTATCCTTATGAAATGCAAATACCAGATACAGATATCGTTCTTGCTACTCAAATTACAGCAGCGGCGCGGCCAATGTCCACAGTATAGAATACTTAGCAGGACTCTTTGGGAGATTTTGAATATCTTCATTTACTCATGACTCTAATTACACACAGTGCCCCTCTAAGGAAATGCAACTGTCTGATTTTACTGACTGTTGACTGTCTCGTGTTAACTCCTTAAGCAGTGTCATAAATACACACGCATTCATGCACGTGATGCATAAAGTAACATGTGAATAGTCAAAGATATTATGGCTAAAGACATAAATCTGCCATAAATATTTGATAGAGCTGAATGCATAGCAATGTGTTAAAGTATAACATTTATCATCTTCCTTATATTATAGGGCATTCTTTATGCCGTCTCTACCACATAGTTGCCCTGCATAACCATAATCGCAAAGGGTTTTCTCTATATTATTAGATAGAATGATCAATGAATTTTCATTATCTAAAATGTCTAACTTTTTTTTTATTCTACAGCACTCTCAACAATAACAACATTACTAGACTTTCTGTGGCAAGTTTCAACCATATGCCTAAACTTAGGACTTTGTAAGTAGCCACAATATATATATATAAAGGTCAATTTAATCAATTAAGGGTTCGTCTAAAATACTATTTTTTGTAAACGAAGAACAGGATTCATGAGTTCATAATGGGATAGAGAAGGAAAACACCACTTTTTAAAAAAGTGCTAGATATGATATTTGAATAAATGAACGATCATTCTGAAAACATGAAAGCTTTCTTTTAAATGATATGCATTATGGGAAGTTGGGGGGGAACGTTTACTTTGAGCTCTTGTGGAGGTCACATTTCATTAAGAAATGTAAGACTCCTTGATTGGCTGTCAGAAATGATAAATGGTAAATCTTTATGATTTTATTACTGTACAGCAAGCAGACCTAATAAAGCTAAACTGAATCTCCTACATTCTTTGTAATGTAAAATTACAGCATAACCCTCCAGTCCATCTATAACGAAGGTTGTGGCAGCATTTATATTTAAAAATATCTTTTCAGGAGATGAACATTAAAATATTTTAGGTGGATAAAAACTTGTTCTCTAATAAAGCATTTGCTACGGCTATTTTTTTTCTCTTGGAGGAAAATTAACTTTAAAGCCCAGGGTGGGGGATAGTTAGTTAAAGCATTTTCAGAGATAAATCTCATTTCAACTGGGTTTAAGAATCACCCTGGCCTCAAAAATATGTTATATACAACACGTGGGAAATGGTGGGAAACATAAGCAAAGCATTGAGCTTCTTGAAAAAAATATGTGCTGATTGGGTTTCAAAATAATTTTCAGTTTACTGTAGTTTAGAACGAAACATATTACATTTATTTTTTCTCATTAATGAAAAAACATTTAATTGCCAGCTTTTTAATGGGTAATGCCAATCTAAATGTCCTCTTTTTTTGTCACTAAAATGTGATGTTCTGTGTATGATACTACACATCATTATCATTTCCTTGGAATAAGATTTAACAAAATAAAGGAATTCTGAAAGTATGCAGGTATAACATAAATTCCATTTTTTTGGTGTGCCTAATCTGACCAAATGAATAGACCAGTTCACTCAGACTATATTTGGTGAAATTTGTTTCTTAATCATTGATAAGCTATTTTTTTTAAATGCACAGTGAACAACCTCTTTAGTGTCAAAAGTGAGGCCACTAAGAATGTGAAAGTGTCTATCATCTGCATTTCTGATAATGTGCCTATTTTCCTATAGAAATCCATCACGGTTTGTCTTGCTAATCAGGTTTTATGTTCTTTTCTCACTTCAAATTTGCACACACCGAATTGAATCATTGTAACATGCTTGGTTCAGATGAAAATATTTCTAGAACAATGAGGTGGCGTGTGCTATGTGGTTTCCAAAGGATGCCACTCTGACTTCCAAGCAAACTGAGCTGGAGGTCACCCAACTTTCACAAAATGTAGCTTTTTGTTCTGTGGCACGTCGTCTAAGTTTTGATGCAAGACAGTCTGTTCCATATCTTACAGGCTCAAGGAGAATGTAAAACAGTCATCTAACTTGAAATTCCCTTGCTTTGGTTGTTTCATTATTCTATATTATCAATGCTACTTAAAAATTCCATTTTTATGGTCCAATTATCTTTCTGGACTGAGTTCCATGTTTTAATATCCATTACTGTTATTGGGTTAGAATTGAGCACATCAGCTAAAAAGGACTAAAATGGTATTACTGTGTCATAGATGATTCTGGAAATGATGCTTTGATTTATAGCTTTGGATGCCCTTTTACTTTAGTTTGAGAAAACGTAAAAGCCAATTTGAAGTCATTTACCTAATTTAGTGGATACATTTGTCTGATATTTTATTAATGGAAAAGTGCTATTTGCCACTTGGAATGGATCCACGCTCTGGTGTGGATCCCTGCCAACACAGAGAGGGGGGCTCACTTAATTCCTTCACTCCCAGCCATTTATGTCTTTTCATTTCAGTTCCTGCTCTTTGAGGATAGGGTCCCAAGAGCCAAAAGCAGCTAATCCCTTTTTTCTGCTATTAAACAAAAAGAAGGAAATCAGAATAGGGACATGAAAGAAGTGTTTTATATTGAATTATTATTCTATCTTGTTCCGCAAAAAACGAAAGTGACCCTCTAAAAAGATTTTGCAAGCAGTTCCTCCAGAAACTAACAACAGCAGGACTAACGGATAATTCATATTGGGAGCCACAACTTTTATTAACATGCCTCCACTCCTGCCCCACCTATTACCTCTCCTTTCCCCTGCCACCCCAACTGGCTCTCAGTATATTGGGACTGCAGAGCAATTTGCCTTGGACATCTCTGTTTCTTCTTACCCTTTTGAGTGAACATAGAGAAACCATTCTTATCGTCATGTCCAAGCTCCTGGATGTTGGCTTAGCTCAGAGGTAAATGAAGAGAAACTCGATTCTGTGGTTGTACACCAGTTTAATTTTTAGAAAACTGATTAGGTTGGGAATTCCTACGCTTTGTCTGCTGACATGTTAAGAAATAAAGCTATAGATTATTATTAAGACTTTTTTTTTTCAATTTTTGGAGTAACCGTTTTCTGTTTTCTTGCTTTAAACTTGTCTTTTTCTTCTCTAGTCGACTGCACTCGAACAATCTGTATTGCGACTGCCACCTGGCCTGGCTTTCTGACTGGCTACGCCAGAGGCCCCGGGTTGGTCTCTACACTCAGTGTATGGGCCCGTCCCACCTGCGGGGCCATAACGTAGCTGAGGTGCAAAAACGCGAATTTGTCTGCAGTGGTAAGGGAGAATGAACCTTTATGTTGTCATCTTATTTTACGGAGAACTGTGGAGAATGCATGCTCTCAGAGTTTCCGTGTTGCTCACTAATGTGTGCAATTGTGCACTAATCACTCCATGGGAGTCCTCGGTTTTAGTGACGTTGAGAATAGGTTCTAAGATGTGTGTGCGTGATTGGCAAGGACAGGGTCCTCTGAAGTGAGGATGAAAGATTTCTAAATTTTTACTCCTGGGGAAATCAAGGAAATTCCTAGACTTTAATTCTGTTTGCTGCTTATTTTCCCATTAAGTAATAATGTCCATCTGCTTTTCTGTTAACACTTGGAAATATGGTTAATCCTGGATCCCTGCTGGGAAATTTTAAAAAAGTATCTCAACTGTAGTTGCAGAGTGGCAAAGTACTTTTCGTGAATACTAGTGGTTCACGTCAACTTCTAAGAGATAAATGACTAGCTTTAGTGATAAAAATCTGGTAATAAAAATAAGGCACATCCTATGTAAAATATCAGGAAGTCACATTCACTTAGTTCTTTCTATTTAGGTATTTCACATATATGTACCCATTTCACCTCCCTCATCACAACTGTAGTGAAATGTAATATTATCTTTATACTAGAGAAGAAAACGCTGAGAAAAAGATGCTAAGTAGCCTTGTCCAGGATCACATAGCTGAGTCCAAGGATCTCAACCTAGGCAGTCTGGTTACCAATGCATATATATTGATAGTTATGTTTATATTTATATTTATTTATAAAATAATATGTTAATAGTATCTGATACATATTAACATATATCTTATTTTATAAATACAGGACTGGCTCTGCTTCAGAAGTGTCTGTTCAAAATACAATAACACAAAATTTTTAAATATACGTAATGCATCACAAATAATTCCTTAAAGGAGGTGCAAGAAGAAGTACTTGCAGAGGATTCTGATTTATTGTTGTCTTTTAGAACGTTTAATATATTTTTCCACACTTTTTATAACCCAGACAAAATTTTCCTATAATGTCATGGAATGGGAATGTTCTCTTCAGGTCTGATTGCTTTTTAAAAAAATTAAATAATGAAATGACTAACAGTTCGTTACTAACCACTTTTTTCTCTCTTCACTTTTCCCTTCCTGTTTTCTAGATGAGGAAGAAGGCAAGTTCACCTTTCTCTTTTAGACTGAGACTATTTTTTGTAAAGTTTGAGAGCTTGTTCAGAGGGCTTGGGTTAGTAAGGAGCCTGCAGTGTCTTCCTGGCCTACGTGACCGCTCAGGTCCTCTTGCTGCAGATCAGAGAGGGCTGTCCCCTTGCTCCGGTAGCCAAGGGTGTGCAGATGCCCATTCCTACAACACGGCCGACATTCTGTTGTTCGTCATCCCAACAGTGAAATCTCATTTCAAAACAGTTTTGTTTCCAAATACTGAGTAGTAAAAATATATACCTGCAGGTAACTACTTAACGCTAATGTTGTAGGCCATGTGAAGCCGAATAAGAGAACTATCTAGATTAACAATTACGGAATGGCATGTTACAAATTATTATAATAACTTCAAAGAAAGCACAAATGTTGAACCTATCAAGACATCCAACTTAGCAAGATCTAATTTTCCCCTCATTTATTAGTGCATGATTACTTATTTGGAATCAACAGTTATACCTTCCAAGAGGAAAATGTTAACTGTTTTCCTCTCTTTTCTTGAGGGTAGAGTAAGTTATGCTACTTACGTTTAATAAAAACCAAACTCTATTTAAGCATATCGGAAGTGAAATCTAGGTTAGTCTGAAACTGCTGCTTTTTTTGGAACTCAGAATAGTTTTGAATCAAATTCCAGTTTCAGGTCTGAGGTTAGCCTTTCTTAACAATTACTTCAACTCAGAAAAATGATCATTTTCATAATTAGTTTTAAGAATCTCATTTGCTTCATCTGAGTGTTGGCCCAGAACTATAAATGCATGCTGCCTAAAATATATCCTAGAACTACAGGACCAATTTTATGCTCAGATATTTAGAGAAATATATTTGTGTTAAATAACATGCTTTGTTGTTTGAGATAAGCTCATGTGTTTCACGATCCGTGGTTTCGGGAGGGAAAGTATCATTGCCGTCTCTTTCTCTTGCAGGTCACCAGTCCTTTATGGCTCCTTCCTGCAGTGTTCTGCACTGTCCAGCTCCTTGTACGTGTAGCAACAATATCGTAGACTGTCGTGGGAAAGCTCTCACTGAGATCCCCACGAATCTGCCAGAGACCATCACAGAAATGTATGTGCCCTGAAATTTCCTCTCATCTCTCCACCTCCACAGTGACCCAAACCCTGACTTTCTTTAGAGCTTCTAGGTTTCTCGAAGGCCAATGGGATCAATCAGTTTAGACAGATATTCCTCTCAGAATTACATTGTGCCTGACTCTGCTTAATGAAATATCATGTTGAAGGGGCTAGGGTTTTTCTTTCTTTTAACATAGGTAGAATGAAAAGGAATGCATTTGAAGGATAAATAGTAGCCCTTTTCTTGGGAAGGTGTTACCAGGTTATTTAGGAAAAATAAGTGTAGGTGTACGTAGTCTGACCATTTGGGCCTGTAGATCTGCTCCTCCTGTCCAGGTTTAGCTTCTAGTGAGGAGGCAATAGAAGGACCGAACTGAGGAAATAAATCATAGAAACAAGATAACTGGATGAGGTTCTGCCTCCTCAAGAGCTCGCGTTTTAAAATGCAGTTTCACTATTTTGTTGGAACTATTGTATAGTCTACCACAAAGTGTAAAAAGGATAAAATTATAAAGTCAGAATATATAAGATTTTTAAATTAGTGAGCATGTTAACCTATGTGACCCAATGGCTATCTCTATCAAAAGTTAAACTGTCTTGACAAAGTATTTCTATTTTGCATGCAGCTGCTGTGTGCATTTGTTCTTGCCAAATATAAGTCATGTGGGTAAAACAAGGTCATGTAAGATGTAAAATGAACTGCTCTTTCCACCTTGGGAAGTAAGCATTAGGGAAAATCTTCACTTCAATATATATTAACTAAGACAGCACCTCTTAACTCTCAGCCTATCATGTTATTGTTTCAGAGGCATTTTAGTTTGAAATGATAAAATAAGCATAACTTCATATAAGTCTACATAGTAGGCACAAAAATTAAGTTATTTTCAAAAACTATTAGTTTTTTGCCAGTACGCTGCTTTAATTTGCTTTATATGAGACTAACTTTAGTTCACAAGACCCATTAACATTATTTAAAGTATCTAATAGGTGTTTTAAAGTATGCTTAGAGCTTTGCAGTGTAAGGGCTTTTGCAGTGTAATCTGTAAAGATTCTAGAACCTGTGGAGGTTTGACACAGACATGAAATAACGTGTGCACATAATCTTATTATCATCAAAATTTTAGTTTTGCTCATCGAAGGCATTTGTAAGTATTTTTAGCTGATCTTTGGAAAAAGAATAATATATGGTTTTGGAAGAGGCAGGTGACATTCCACAAAAGAGAAACATCAGGAATGAAAGACGGAGGTGGTGGGGAGCATTATGTTTTAGAGATTGCACAGTCAAGCCTAATTAGAGTAACAGGTGCATGTTGGGGCATCATGGAAAATAATACCTCAGAAAAGACATAGCCATATAATTTTAAAGCCGCAGATTATTGAAGGACTTTTGTCTTAGTCAGAAGATGTAATATATGTAATATATGATAAACTAGATAGCAGAAAGACAATAGTAAGTTTTCAAACAGGGGAATAGTATATTCATCTGTTCAGGCAAGAGCATTTATTAAGTAAACACTTACTATAGAAAAGGCAGCATGAATTTTCCAGAGATTTTCCGAGTGACCAGCAAATTTGATGTGCAAATTAAAAGCTATGAAATGAGCTACAAATTAATACATGTTTGTAAGAGAGGAACAAATGAGGTTCAAGGTAGCTAAACAGAGGCGTAAAGTGGAGGTCAAGTTACAGTGGTTAATCAAAGGCAGCAAGCTTTAGTCAGACCCACAGGTCCACCTACCATTCACTGTGAGACTGTAGGCAAGTTATTTATCCTCTGTGAGACTGTCTCCTCCTCTGATACTAAGGGTTGTTGTTAAATTGAAATGAAAGAACACACGTAGCGCTTTATGTGCTTAGTAAATAGTAGTAATTCAGTAAGTGATACGTTCATCGTCAAAACCCTCATATAAAAAGTAACATCTGAGGTAGGCCTTAAAGGATACAGGGAATGGAAATGCAGAAATGAGGAAAGGGCTTTCAAAATGAATAGAATATCAGAAGCATTGGCAATAAGAATGGAAATGCAAGACACAACCAAACAGGAGCTCAGTATGGCTTTTGGAACCCGAGCGAGTGCAGGAAGATAAAACTGGAAGGGTAGGTTGGAGCCAATTCATGGAGGGCCTTGTATAGTATAAGGCCCTAAGTCTTTATTTGGAATGCATTCGACTACAAGAGTTTTCATCTGAATCTTCAAGGATTGATCTGACCGCTGTGTGACAGTGGTTGGCAAAAGGACAGACTGCCAGGCCTGAGGCCTCTTTAGGTGGCTGTCATGTTGATGGAGGGGAGATGTCCTAAGTGCAGGAGCTAAGTAGCAGTGGGAATGATGCTGCAGAAGTGGATATGGTCGTTAATACAGGAACAGAATACATGGGATTTGGCATTTGGTGAGATGAGGGACTAATGGAGAAAAATGAACCAAAGATGATGCCAGAATTTCAAGTATTAGGGATGGGGAACTGGTGGTTTTATCATTGGATAGGATAGAAGAGGCTGAAGGACAGGACAAAAATTGGGAAAGAAGATGGTGGTGAACAAAATGTATGAAATCCTGAGGTCCCAATGGGATTTTGGGGGGTGGTAAAATAATCCAGACGAGATCGGGCGCGTTCAGGGTGGTATGGCCGTAGACGGGGGTGGTAAAATAATCCAGACAATAGTAACCTGGAGCAAGACAAGAACTTGAGGCAAAGATTTTGGAGTAATTAATACTATGAAATAAAAGTTGGTGGTTAAATCCATGAAATGGTGAATAGAAAGGAGTGTGATAGAAGAGAAACCCAACAGAAGTAAGAGCAACAGAGGGGCCAGAGTGAGCAAGGAAGGGGCCAAGTTTGGCTGAGAAAGGGTGTTTTGAAAAAAGACAGTTGTCACTGTAAAGGACAGACTTGGATTGATTTGAAGATGCAGAAAGCTGCAGTCATTAGGTAGTCAGAGACACGGGTTCAGAGAAAGAGATGAGAGTGTGAGAGTTAGTAAGATCTCTGTGGGAGCGCGATCGTCCCGGACACAAAAGTGTGTGGATCAAATCCTGATTATAGGAAACAACAAAACGCCACCGTGGGTTGACAAAAGAACAGTGAGTTGTAGCTATGACGGACCGAAAGTAATGTGTGACATATAAAGTAGTTTATCTCATGTAGCCTGTTTCATTTTTTACAACAGAGCATTTCTTCTATTTTGTATGCCCTATAGATTTTGTATTATCGTGAAATTTAGTAACATAAAAGTTATACTAAATAATAACGTCTCACCGGGTTTGCCTGTATTGAGGAGGGTGGTGTATCAGATAAAGCCACAATAAATTAAATTTATAAGTAGAGATGACAACATATGTGAAGCTCTAGGTGAATTTCACGTCTCTGATTATTACATTATCAGCTTTATCAGTAGAGCATCTGGTAATAAATCATATTGATCTTCAACTCCAACAAAATATCCCATTACCATTCATTATAGTGGCATAACTTACTAGCTTAGTAACTCATTTCTTCTATTACTCTTTTATTTTTATTAGTATAAAGAATGTCAGATTCATAAAACGTGGAAGTAGAGCTATACAATATCTTCTTTCTTCATTTTTATAGATTCCAGTTTTTTAATACATGATGAGCTGAAAATTAAAAGCTCCCTCCATATTTTTCAAATAAGTTTTAATCTAGATTTTACCATAAACTCTAAGCAGAATTGCTTTACTGCAGTTTATCTGACATTCCATTCAATGCTGTTGAGTTGATTTCCTTCTATGTGTGGTATGCCTTTATTCCTGCCACTCTCTCATAATAGAATTCTAACAAAAAGAAAGTATGTATGTGCTCCATGTAGGAGTGATCTACTGCCTATTATTCTAGGTAGAAAATCTTGGCTCATTCTTTTCTTTCTTCTGCGTTGGGCTTACAACCATAATTTCACACTTCTGGTACTTGCTCAAACAATTATTTATTAAGGTAGATGGGAAACTTTCTTTTAAAGTTAGAATTGGAATAATTTGCAGAAGAACAGATAGGAGACCAACATTTATCTAACAGTGTTGGATGCTGTACACACATTATATCATATGATCTTCTCATTGACTTTTTTAAATTTTATTTCATTATGTTATGTTAATCACCATACATCATTAGTTTTTGATGTCGTGTTCCATGATTCATTGTTTGCAAATAACACCCAGTGCTCCATGCAATACGTGCCCTCCTTAATACCCATCACCAGGCTAACCCATCCCCCACCCCCTCCCCTCTAGAACCCTCAGTTTGTTTCTCAGAGTCCACAGTCTCTCATGGTTCGTCTCCCTCTCTGATGTCCCCCTTTTCATTTTTCCCTTCCTACTATCTTCTCATTGACTTTTGATGTGGGTATTTATGGAAATTAAATAAAATAGGAAAATCAATGCAGGGACATATGCTAGATAAATGTTGGTGGATTTCTCCAAGAGGCCTTATCATCCTGATGATCGTACTATTCTCCCGGATCTGTCATCTCACTTGCAGGCTAGGAATCTTATTTTGACTGCACCTAACTATTACATTTTGTTTATATATGTTTATATAGAATATATATGTTACTTATATATTTTATATACATAATATTGTGTGTGTTCATCTGAACGTCTGTCTTCCCTACTGAAGTAGAAGCTCTGAAGCTTCTACTGAAGACAGAGGCAGGAATGAGTTCTGTTCTGATCACCACTGAATACCCAGCAACAAATCTAGTACATGGCACATGATAGGCAGATGATAAATATAAAATAAATATTTACTGAGTAAATGGATACTAAGCATTTACAGCAAATTGATCCTTAAAAGGAGCTAGAGGTGGCTGGCTGGCTCAGTCAGTGGAGCGTCTGCATCTTTATCTCAGGACCGTGAGTTCAAGCCCCACGTTGGACATAGAGCCTACTTAAAATAAAAATAAAATAAAATATTTTTAAAAAGTAATAAAAGGAGCCATTTTTAAACACAATTAAAAATAAAAACTGAAGGAGCAGGCTTT